GGGGGGGGGGGGGGGGAATGTGAACAAGTTGCAAAAATGCTATTAAATTTTGTTCAATATTACACTATTTTCATGACTTATATGTCAAAAAAAAAGAAATTAATAATTAAAAAGTAAAGCAATCTATTTTAGTTCTTTTTCATGATTTTAGTAAACAAAAACTACATTAACATGAAGTATCTGTCAAACGCTATGTCAATTCAGATTACATTATTATATCAATAGATGGCGGAACATATTATTAGATCACGATATAGATTTATTTGGTATGTTTATCGACTTGCCGATCGCATTTAAATAAAGTTGACTCGCACCAAGATATAACCAGTGTTTCATTGTGACTACTCGATACTTCTCCAGTGAGAGGGAGACCTTTTTGAGACTGCTTTACAGTATCATTGCTATTAATTAAAAAAATGTATTGGAATGATGTCTACTTTGAAATAATTAAACTTAAAAAATTACAAAAATATAATATCACTTTGGAGTTAGAATAAATATAAGAATACTTACACATCTCTTTACAAGTTCACTATTCAAATTCTGAGTTTCACACAACTGTCTCTCGAGCAGATTGCATCTGGATCTCTCTTCGTTCACCTTCTCCTTCAGTACATCTCTCTCCTGCCGTGCGAGGGTAGCTTCATCCTGCTCCGACTGTATCCTGTCACTTAGCTCACTGACTCTACACTTTGTTAATTCGTGTTCTCTTCTTTCCTAAAGTAATTTTAAAAAAATTAATATATTTTCTTATTTACATAGTTTGTTGGGTACTAATAATCATTATTATAAAACTAAATTTTAATATATGCAAAACTTTAAACCTATTCGGATGATGAGATTTAAATTTCTTTACCACTTACGAAGACAACTTTCCGTTTCATCTTACTAATATTGTGAATGTTTAGATGGATGGATGAGATGTTTGTTTGAAATATCACCAGAACAGCTCAACGGATCTCTCTGAAATTTGGCATAGTCGTAGAACATAGTTTGGAAGAAAAATAAACTACTTATTAATTTTTTTTATTCCGTGCGGATGAAGTTGAGGGCGATAACGTTATTGATAAAAGACAGAATTTAAGTTTTTGATGTTTAATGTCATGTCAATTAAATTGTTACCTTTTCTAAAGAATCTTCTAAATTCCTAACACAATCAGCAGATTGTTTGTTCAGTCTCATTATTGTTTCACAGTTATCTTTGACAATTTCTATTTCCTTCTCTTTACTTCTTAATACCTCCTCCTTCTCTGCTATCACTTTATCAGTACTGTCCTGCAGTTCCTTCTTCTCTTGGGTAAGTTGTTTACATTTCTCTTGATAGTCATGCGCTAAGTCAAGAGCTTTGTAAAGTTCACTTTCAAAGTGTCTGGTTTTCTGAAATAAAAAAACAATTAAACATTAACTAAAATAGATTTTGAACTATGCTTGAACAAAAGAAACTATTAACATCTCCAAGAGATAGCATTATTTTATCTCCAGACATAAAATATTGTTGGTAAAATCAATTTTGAGTTAAGTAACTCATTTTTTTTAAAATATTTATCTACATTGGAATATATATTTAGTTTTTAAAAAAAGAAATATGTCAAAAAATATTACAAATGCGAAAGTTTGGATGGATGTTTGTTAGGTAAGATGTAAGGTGTAAGGTATCTCCACAACAGCTGAACAGATCTCAAAGAAATTTGGCATAGATATGTAATAGTAGAGTTGGCGACAACTAGTAGGTAAATGAAACAAAGTCACACCTTCTGAGCATCATTGGCCACCATTTTAAAGTTATCAACTTCTTTGACCATCTTCTCTAGTGCCGCTCTGTGTCTCTCTTCAGCTTTGTCCAGGCTATGTGTAAGCCGGAGCCAGGCATCCCGCAGCTTGTTGATGGCAGTGTCCTTGCCTCGGTCTACTCGGATAGCAACTGCTAGTTTCTCCTGCTGTTCCAGAATCTTCCTTTGAAGTTGTTGTATCATTACTTCACAATGCTGTGGAATTTACAATTAGGTTATCTTAGATTATTTAAGCTTGTATCTAGATAATTTATTTATTTGGTAATATTATTATGAAATTGATAACTAGGCATATGTGGTTTTATAAAAGAAAAACATGTTTCCCATTGGCCTGTTTGATCTGTAGGACAACCAGCCTAATGGCAAATGCTACTTAAATATTGTTAACATACGCTAAGACATTTTATAAAAAGCTTAAAGTCAACCCAACATTACCTCTCTTTTTAATCTTTCTTCTTCTAATTTTAAACTGTCAGCTCTCTCCAGCCGCTCTCCTTTCTCTCCCCACAGTTCACTTAAGCTTAAAAGATCTGTATCTATAGAATCTATTTGTAAAGCTGTCATTTTGTCCTTTGAGTTAACAAATGGTCTCATTTGGGGCATTTTAAAGTCTCCTTTCTCTGACAAATAGTCATTTGTGTCAGTGACGGAGGATGGAGCATTTTGTGAATAACTCTGTGACTTATATTGCTCCAATACTTTTGATGCTCTGTCATATATTTTATTTGATGAAGGCTTAAAGTTTTCAAAATAACTTGAACTATGAGTATACTTTTTGGGTGTAGATGTAGGTTGACCATCTTTCTCATTAAAATTCAATTTTCTTACACTAGGTGATTTTGATTGAGTTTGAATATCTGTTTTTGTTTGCTGTGATGCAGAATAGTTTGAATTCTCAATATGGTCAGACTTTATTGTACTAACTACTTTGTCAGATAGAGCATTATTTTTTACTAAATAAATATATTTGTCTAAAATTTCACTTGTGACTTTCCTTCCACTGGGCAACTGAATTTCATTTTCATCATTTTTTGTCTCCAATTGTTGTGCTATATAACTACCTGTGGCTTCAATTATACTTTCAGGACTTAGTTTTTCTGTACCCTTACATCTTGTATCAGGTGTTTCGTATGCCTCGACTCTTGTCAAAAACTCGTCTATTTCATGGAGAAGCAATTTATCATTAGTCTTACTTGGAGTTGAGATTATACTGCTTATATCTCCATCCATACTTTGTGAATCATTTATAGTTTCAGATATACGACTTTGTGTTGTGTCTGGTAACTTCAGTTTAGGAATATTTCTATGCAAACTCATACAATCGAAGCTGGTCAAAGATAAATCTGAACACTTATCTCGTCTAAGAACTTTTCTACGACGTCTACGAGGAAATGTTGAACACTTACGGTCGAGGCTCCTGTAGCTGTCGTTATAAGTTTTATTTTTTATAGAACTTGTACTAGAAAACGTGGTGCTAGTGTTTAGTTCTAAGGTATCTAACCTAGATTCTAAGGAATGCACTTGGTCGACCAACTTTCCTAATACATGCGCAGTTCGCGAAACCGGTTTGTGCACAACTGTTCTTGAGGATTCTAGCAACGAATTGTCAGATTCCGAACTGCAAATCAGGAAAAAATTCGGCGGTATCAACAGAAGAACGTCGGTATCGTCTGTCTCACTCATTACAAGGTCTGTACGGTTCTACATATTTGAAAATTTGGGCCATTATAAATTATTATGTTACAAATATTAACTACTATATTTAGTTGAAAACTTCGAAATTAAATAATAAACAAACAGATCAACACAATGAACCAACAACGAACGATATCGTTTTGTTATGATTTTGATTTGTTTAATTGATTGTCTATGATTATTCCATAAGCATTTATGCAGATAAAAAAGCATGAATCAAAATGAAATAGATTATATAATATTGTTTAAATCCTAAACGTTTTAGGTAATAATCATTTAAGAGAGCCTTATCATATTAAAAAAAAACTCGTTTTTCATTAAATAAAAACAAGGCTGAAGAACTCAGTAATTAAAAAAAAACATTAACTTAAGTAACTCAATTAAAATAACCATATTTGATTTATAATAAAACAGCGCATATTTATCTACATATGAATAGTTTTTATTTATTTTATTTAACAGTTCACAATTTTTATGTACACAATACCAATTAAGATGAACACAATACCAATTAAGATGAACCAAAAACATTCGCAATATTAAATTAAATGGAGATAAAAATTGCCCCTTCTTATCATCATTGCCTAGCTAATGTCGATCTCCAGCTTTGGCCCTACACTTGGATAAGCTTGTCTAATAAGAAATTATTCATTATTGGTAGTATGATATACATTTAATAATACTTAACATAAAAGTATGTTTGATGCTAATAAAATAGACCCATCTACAAATTCAGCTGTCAGGAAATGTTGGCAATATTTTAAATCAAGATTCATAAAATTAATCTTTATCATGAAGCCCTAACAGCATGTATAGGAGTCTGTTTAATAAATGAATCCAACTTGCTTTTAAATAATTCACTAGTAATTGGTTCTCCGATACCACAAAGTGGATTTCTTACAGCATATTTAACATAAATCTCTCCATAAATCTTCTTTAACAGATCCCTAACACCCTGAGCTTGGTTATCTGTGTTCATTACAAACTTAAGTCCAGAAGGTGTTTCTAAACAGTGCAGGGTGTACTTTGATGTTTTGTAGTTTAGAAATCCATCTTTGGGATCTAATGGTGATATTTTACTGACAAATGACTTGATCGAAAATAACATTCCGTACATGAGTTTTCCTTCCTGAAAGAAAACATATAAACTAATAAGCATCTCCTTTTTTTAAGGTCTTTTGAAAATACAACTTTGGGCTAAATGAAATAATTTACATGGTCGCATATATACTAACTTGACTTTAATATTTTATACATAGTCTGCGGCACTTTAAATAACGAAAACATCAAGTTGCACTTTCTGCTTACCTCTTCCCGAGACATACCAGACTGCTTTGATCTGTTCCATTCCCCATAATACAGTAAAGTTCCATAACGATCAAAAATATAAAGATTGTGGATTGTCATTTTATTCAAAATTTACTGTAGGATACATAAATCATAACACTAATACGAAGAATAAAAATTCTATTATTATAAAGAATAATTGTAATATTTGTATCCTTATATCTTAGTATTTCATTTCGATCAATGCAAATGACAGTAACAGTGACATTTGGTGACAGTGATAAGAGCAAAGAGCATGTGATAGTTATAATGGCAAATAGTATTGAAATGTCTACGGTGTTTCATTGAAGCATTAACATAAATAAAAAAGCTTGAGCTCTAGCTGTGACGAAAAGCATTTGCATTCTAAGTACTAGAAATAGATGTCTAGGCTTGTGCCAAATCTAATACGAACTGAACTCGAAAACAAATATCTTTTCATTTTAATCAGTTCTACGAGATCTTTGGATAATTTTTTCTCTGCCTCATCTCCACTTTACTCTTTGGAATTGTAACCAGCAAAAACGAGTGTCTAGAATTAAATAATGGTGTGAAATTATTAGAAATTTAACAATTATAATAAAACAATTTGAAGAAATAATATCAATAATAAGTTAGGTACGGTAACGTAGTAATTTCAATTTGTAACAATGTATTTTTATTATTACTTTTATTCAGAGGTTATAATTATCTAATAGTTTACAGAAGATAACCTATAAATAATGGATGAATATTCAAGAGAACCGTGCCCTTGGCGTATATTAGATGATTCCGGTGGTGCTTTCATTATGGGAGCTATCGGAGGTGGCATATTTCACTCCATTAAAGGTTTTAGAAATGCTCCAGTTGGTTTCAACAGGAAAATGGTACGTATATACATACATCAAAATTCTAATCAGTTTAATAAGATAAATAATTTTTACCGTCGCTTTTTAGCTTGGAAGTTTAGCTGCAATTAAGGAACGATCACCAATAGTAGCTGGTAACTTTGCAGTATGGGGTGGCATGTTCTCCACAATAGATTGCTCTCTTGTATATTTACGGCAAAAGGAGGACCCTTGGAACTCTATAATGAGTGGAGCGCTGACTGGAGGCATCCTGGCTGCGAGAAATGGTAACATTTTGTTCTTCAACTACAACACCTATACTTTGTGATAAAGGAAATATAACATAGGCAATCCCATAATGTAACCTGCTCCGAATCAATAGACATTTTACAATATTACTTCCACATTATTCGCTAAATAACAAAAAGTTATATATTAATAAATATAATGGCTTCTATGTATGGAATTTAACATATGTGTTTCATTAATTTAGTTATTATACTAAAAAGAGTTTCTGTCTTAAACATTAAAACTTTTCAGGTGTACCAGCAATGGCTGGCAGTGCTTTAGTAGGTGGTATCCTACTGGCATTGATTGAAGGCATTGGAATAATGTTCACCAGACTATCTGCCGAGCAATTTAAACCACAACAGCCCATATTCGAAGATCCCTCAATATTAGGACAGAGTCAAGGGCAGAGTCAATCCTTCCAATAATGAAATGTTAGTTTAGTTTTAAATTTGATTAAAGTGTACAATGGAAGTTAAAAATGGGTAAACAAATCTTAAGAAAATTATTGATAATTTATTTTTTATGTAAATAAAAATATTATTCGTTTGTATAACTCAGTGGTAAAGGATAACTAAAGATTTGTTATTTAGATAAATACTTTTTCAATTTTGCTTTCATTTCATAGTATTTAATCGGTGAATGGTATTTGATTGTTTTTTTTATTCTACTTTGCTTTTGTGTTATAAAATAGGTTGTAAAACTAAGTCGAGTTGAATTTATTTAGTGGTTTCGAACTTGTTATTCAGATATGACATGAGATTATTTTGTTAGATTTGTTTTCCCATTTTGAATATATTTGAGTGAAGAATTATTTTCTGTGATATTATCAGTTGCCAGCTGATTGCTTATGCTCACTCAATGAATATTCAATTTTATCATAATTGTTTATGGTAAAGAATTGAATAGTTATCACAAAAATGTCTATGTCATATTGCAAGCAAATGATTCAACATATTTATTTGTTTCCCATATTGTTGATCTTGTATGTTTTGTAGATTAGAGATTTATGTTGATTATAGTTGAGAAGATTTATTTACTCCATCTTCCAATTTATATCACATAATATCTCAATTATTCTATAAAAACATAAATTGCATGCAATATGGCATATATGTTATTTTTTTTAATTAGAATAAAAATTGGTTTTATACAAGTGTTTTATTTGACTTAATACCCTATTTTTAGTTGTATGACCTAATTAAGGATAACATGGATCGATCTGGTTGCATAGTTTACAAAATATAAGAGTGAAATAACAGATACAGGATTAGTTTTAGCAGAAACAAAGTAAGCAGTTAACTATCTGTGGGTTTCGGAGATCAGAATACCTGTTTAAAACATATTATCTTTGTTTGTCAAAGATAACAGGAATGACCATATGTTTTATACAGAGTTTTTAATCTTCGAAACCAATGCTATGACAAATCATTATTCAATAACTTCCTTTATTTCATTGATGCAACTCGGCCATACTTTCGTTACAATTTTTTTTTAATATACTGAGATTACCAGATTGTGTTTAAACTCACAATTAGAACAATAGCCCTACAATTGTGTGTTACCCACTTTGTTGTGAGTTTCTCTTTCCCCCACTTTTCTGATTTCTTTTATAACATAGGCTAACGATTCCGGGTCCACTCCAAGTTCACAAAGTCTGATGCAAATTGTTAGAGTTTCTTGATCGAGTCCTGTGTTTAGAAGTTGCGATATTTGATTTAACATTTGAAACGCTTCCCGCGCTTGCCCGATTTGTACATTTTTTTCTGAAGTCATTGCTATTACTGTAAATAAATAAAACAATTTATAAATTCGAATTGAGCTTAAATATTTTGAATAATTAAATAACAGATCATACTTGTGTAAGTTGAAACTAGTAGAATGTTAAAAATTGTCAACAATGGTCGTTTGGATGTCAATTTGACAAGATGTCAAAGTCAACGACTCTAATTTCTAGTTTACCATAAGCAAATTGGGTACTTTTAAATGTAAAAAGTTATGAAACTTGAAAACACTAAAAAACTAAAATCATTGAAATCAAATCCGATAATATGCAGTTAGCAGATGAGCGCAGGCAAAAGTGTGTATATTCTTTAACATATATAAAAACACAGTGTACGTGCACTTGTTCCAATAGGTATATATTATGGTATAGGTGTATTAAAAATATTTAGTATAAGTACCGCTTTCTTTATTCCTTCTCTTTCAAACAATTATTTCTAAATTTTAACAAAATTCACTTTCAAAATGTTGTTGATTTTAATTCTTAAACGAATTTACGCGCCATTGCAAGTTTAACGGGAAGCGGGAAGTTTGGAATTTCACGTCGCTGTACAGTTTTCTATTTCGGTCCCATCGCATCCACAATCCAGAAATAGCTGATGTTCAAGTTTTAAGAGTGATTTGTGATTTTCTTTGCGTTCGGAAATAAATTAGTGAATATTGTTCTTCCGTGTAAATTGCATTTCGATATAAGATATAATGGTGAGTACGGTGTATAAAACGTTGATATTGAAATGAGATTAATATAACTTTACACACTGAATTGAAGCACAATTTTGTCATGTCATCATTAAGATTTAGGCCACGTGTAATTGAAGAATACAAAAAATATTTCAAGTTATTTTTTCTGGAAAATAACTTCAATCCCATTTCTATTAATTCAATAAGTAGGCACGCATTCTTTTAGTTTCTTAATACGTTTATATTTTGTGAATTCTCCTTTGTTTACGACCTTTTAACATCTGCGTAATTGCAAAATTAAATGTAATCATATCTGAAATGTACATTCAATGCTTTTTAATAAAAAGGAAAACATTTTGTAATCAATTTTTCAGGCAGATCAAGTTCAGAATGATACTCTAAATGCGCCAGTAAAAGCAGTTAACGATAATATCCAAGACGTGAAACCGGTAAGTGAACTTAATGAAAGTTTCAATCTATACTAGATGTTAAAAAAGTTTGCATATGAGAACTATATTTGAAAAAAAATCTCACTATAAGCAAGTTGACAATTGTCAATTGTCATCTTTTGAAACCTGGTGTCTGCTGCCTGTCATCGATAATTTTGTGTTCAAAATAGAACAAAAGCCGTGTTTATTCTTTATACTCTTTGACGACAGCGTAACAATGAGATCACTTTCTAGGATTAATTATCAAGTATTCGATCCTAGGTCACTATGGACGAGGGTCTGTAGTTTTTTTTTCGCACACATCTTTTAAATAATGAAAGCAGCAACTTACTGAATGCAGGACCTAAAGATTTCGGAAGAAATATCAACGATACGTATTACGATTTACAAATTGTAACGTATGTTACGTCTGCATACAAAATTTCTTTTGTGACGGAAAAAAATGTAAAAAAATGCTGAGAGACTTCATGTGCTAAATGTTTTTGAATAGTTTTCCTAACAACCAAGTTGATTGTTGTAATTGTAAATTTTAGGCGGAAGTGGCAAAAAGCCCAGAATCTGGAGCAGGGGATGAACCAGCAATAGACAATAAAGTAGTACAAGACAAACTGCAAGAAGCCGTAGTTATGGTTAGTTGTGTGCATGATTTTATAACTATAGGCGATAGACCTTGTTCTTGGTTTTGGTTTGCTTTAATTTCTACAATTTATTAATAGAGACTATACCTATTTTTAAGGAAATTTATTATAGCTTTGATTTTTAGCCTAATTCCAGTGTCGAAGGTCCGAAAGAAAATACAGATGTCAAACCTGCGGAGACTGAAGAAGCAAAGCAGTTAGGAGAGAGCAGTGTTCCCAAACCATCAGTAAGTTTAAAGTTTTATCAAGTTGATATTCGTTAATAACAACAAAGCAATATCTTGTTTGTATTTACAGAACGATTGGCAACAACGTGAAACGGAACTCTTGAAAAAAATCGAAGAGTTAGAGAAAGTAAAGACCGCAAGAAGTGAGGATGGTCTGCGACTCGAATTAAAGGTTGTTGAAGCATTAATTAATTAAAAACATTAAAAATATAGAATTGTATAATTATTTTTTTCCATAGGTCCGTGAAGAAGAAATTGATCTATTGAAGGCGCGGGTGAAGAACCTGGAGACGGAGCTGCAAGCCGCGCTCTCCAAGCCCGGCGGCAAGAACCAGGAGATGATAGAGAAGATTAAACAGCAACATGAAGAGGTAAAGTAAACCACCGAAATACAAAGAAGATCCGAAGAAAAGAAAATGCAATCGTTGGTTTCTGAGACCAAAAGCTTCGTATAAAATATATCGTCACACCTGTCATTATCTTTGAAAAAACAGAAATATGAATTAAACGGGGTTTTGGTGTCAGAAATCCACGGTAAGTTATTGTTTTAGCGACATTAAAAGTGTTATTTCTGATTTGACTGTTTGTGCGGTCTGGTGCAGCTGCTGAGCAAGGCGCGCGGCATGATATTCGACAAGACAAAGATGGTGAAGAACCAGGAGCTGCAGATCGAGGCGCTCAGCACTCAGGTGCAGTCGCTGAAGGACATCAACGTCATCACCAAGGACCTGCTCGAGATCAGGAACTCGGAAGTCAAGGCCATGGAGGTGATTCAATGACCAAGTTATTATTTTATATGGAAGTTTGTAGGACACTTTGTGTTTTTTTAGAATATTTTGCAGACTATGATTTGGTTTTTTAAATAGTATCTTGGTGTAGATTTCCGATTGTAAATCTATACTAAAGATGTGATGTGACTGTAATTCAAATTTTAACAAAAGGCGTATTTTTTCGGTCAAATATGTAAATTGTAAGAAATATTTGTGGTGGTCAGGAGCGTTTCCAGGCGATGGAGGCGCGCTTCAAGGCGGAGAAGGAGCGGTACGCGCTGGTGCTGCAGCGCGCGCAGACCTCCAACACCATCAATGATGACCTGCGCAAGGAGTACGAGACTCAGCTCGCCATCTTCAAAGTAAGCTTGTAGTATATCAGCAGAAGTCGGACAGGAGAAGCTAAGAGGACAGGAGAGGGGAAGGTATCATGAGTGGGTCAGGAATCGGGATGGTGTCAGAGAGTGGGACAGGAAAAATAGAGGAAGAAAACGGAAAAGGAGAAACCGAAAAATATATATTTTCGAATGTCTGTTTTTTGTGACCTCTTGCAGCTTCAACTGTTTTCTCGATTTTGAAATGAGAAGTGCCATTTTATTCGTATTTTTCTCCGGAATGTTATAAGTAGACATTCGTAGTTATTGGTTTTTGATAATTTACTATTGTATATTTAAATGATCTTCGTTTCAGGAGTTGCGAGAGAAATACGAGCAGAGAGTTAAGGCATTGGTAGAAGAGAACAATCGTCTGAAAGAGGCCGCTAAGGGAAGCACATCTGCTTAGCTTGTCTTGTTACGTCGTTGTCGTGTTATATTTCTACAATTATATAAAGACTGCTCCTAGATATTTCTATTTCGACGGACAAAAGTTTCAAATAATTTATTGATTTTTAATATAATACGTTTTGATATTACTTATTTAATTATGGCTGTTTTATTAAAAATAATGTAAAATTAAGTTCTAATCTTGTTGCTTGTTTTTTTTTTAATTTCACAGCATAGGAGTTCTTGAAAGGATTCAAAGCAATTTTCAGTCAGTTATTTGAAATACAATTTATTACGCAGCACGAATGGAATTATAAAGATTACTTTATTTACATTCAACGAATTTGAATCTACGCAAACATTTTATATAAAAATATTTTATTTTATTTTAACAGCCCGCTTTAACATCTTCGCAAGAATTGTCCCGGCTCGCACCGTGAAATACCACGAGCACATAGAAGACACGCGTCAAGTGGAAGCTATTCCAAGTACAGTCTGATGAGTGTGCGTCCCGGAGGCCTAAAGTAATCCTCTTTCCCTTCCCACCCTTTTTCTTATAAGGAAAGGATGGGAAGTGGAAATGGACTTTCCGGAAGAGAAGATGCATGGGAAGGGAAAATATTCTCTTTCTGTGCATCCTCTCCTCCGTCGTATGTCTATGGGCAACGGTCACATTTCAAGTGGCCGCTCGCTCGTTTGCCACATTATTGTATAAAAAAATCTTAATTTAAATATATTAAAAAAAATCTTGTCATTTACACTAGTATAAAAAAAAACAGAACGTTTAGAAGAGCCTTCTAATAGTTAAACGATTTATAAAGTATAGCAAACACAGGTCCATTCACTTGTAAAATTGCTTCGATAAAAATGGAGAGCAAACTGTCAATGATCGTGGAGCACATCTGTTCAATTCAAAAGAGGTAACATTTCCAGTCCATTTTCGTAGATTGCTATCATACGGGGATATTGAAAAGGTTACGCTACATTAAGCCAAGATTGAATTAATATACGATTCTTACGAACGAAATACGTAAAATAACTCTAAGATAAAATGTCAATTAAGACTTTTAAGTTAGTTAAGACTTAGTCCTTTATTAGTTAAGATTTTTAAAGAAGATAGAAAAATAATTGCGAAATTGCTTTAAACAAGCAAAGGAACCAACTATAGTGATTCAGTAAAAGATAAATCAAAAGTAAATATTATATATATCTGGAACATATGCGTAGTCTCTTAATATAAAAATCTTACATATAAAATGGCATTAAATTTGCCTTTTCAAGTATTTCAATTCTCATTTTAATAAGTAGAAAAGGTTTCGAGAGGCGGTCGGGATCGGGCGATGTCGACAATTTTTGCGGTTTCATTGAAGCTCTACATTTCTGCAGATATTTCGAGATCGATTAGAAAAAGGACAGCACATTTTTCGCTTATGATTTTTTATAATTATTTTGCTTTTGGAATTGAAAGAACAGATATTTACTCAGCTTACTGCCGTACTCAGAATGAAAATGTCACCTAAGTAGTAGATTTAATAATGGAAATAAAATAGAAATAAATAAATATTCATTCATAAATATTCAAATAAATATTCAAATATTCATTTCTTATAGTAGGTGTCCCTTAAATAACTCGGCAGTAGTTAGGCTCTTATTAGTGGCATTGCTCGATAACCCTTTATCACCCTTCACCCTCACCCTTTTATTGAAAGAATTGAAGAAGAAATTTGGCATAGGCGTAAATCTTAATCTTGAAGAACACGCGCTAAGTTTTATTTTTTTTAAATTCTGCGCCGAGCACGACTACTAGTTTTAGTATATTTTATACTGGTTTTTAGACTGGTTTTCATTATTATACTTAGCATTATGTATATAAATTATTAAACATTGAATATATTGGGAAAGGATCGACATCATTACAGATTCCGTACTCCAAGCCGCCGCTAGCTCGCGTCGTGTCGATGCAGAATTAATTGAATCGTTCATTATTTACGCTTCCAATGACGTTCTGAACAATCTGTATGCATAATGAATTTGTAACAAGGCACAATGTGTACGCAACATTTAAATGCTATTATAGATAATAATTTTACAGAAATCACAATGAACATTTCATTGCAATGACAAGCAATAGTTACAATAAAATAGTTTGCTATATTATTTTGAATTAAATTTTTTCCTTGTGACTTCCTACAAAAATTTCAACGCTATTAATAACAAACAGACTGATGATATTTAACGTAACATTATGTAAGCTTTGCTTAGTAGTTTAACATTTTTCCTTTTAATGAAAAACTAAGGGTTAAACGGCACAAAGGATAAAAAGCTCATAAACATTAAACGATGGAAGGATTCTTTAGCAATCAACGTCGTAAATAAACATCTTAAGGAAACACTTCTGAATCATTTAACCTTCGTGAACCAGACGTAAATACTTAGATTATATAAGAAATTCCCTTTCAAAGAATATTAACGTACTTCAAAGAGCGATATGAATGAAAGAAATTTTCTTTGCCTCCATTCAGTTTTATGTGATTGATGTAAATACATCTTTTGACTGCTCACAAAAACAATAATATTAAACTTTACTTATTCAATACTGCCTGATATTTATTTGGTGTTTTATTATAGCAAATATTAAAAGGAAAAATAATGAGAAATAACATATGTAGCGAATTAAGACAAGATCACACAGTCTTTCAAGTCGACATTAAATTTTACACGTTGTCTATGTAAACTTATCAAGCCGCAGATTTGCAAATCACTTAACGTGGGTTTCAGAGTCCAAAATCTCCATTTAAAACATGTTATCTCCGTGTTGTCAAAGATAATAATAGAAATGACGATATGTTTTATAGAAAGATCTCAGAAACCCACAGTTAGTCTCACATAACCCTGTTAAACAAAGGTATGGTAAAACAAAGAGCTGTAATAATTTCACCTAGTGCGCAAGGAGAGCTAATCAGTTACTGTTTTTTTTTATAACAGAAGGGGGCAAACGAGCAGCGGGAACACCGAAGTGTTCAACGACTCCCAATAAATTATTTTCTGGTTAATTTTAACGTATTTTATCAAAAGAAAAGAAATCATACATATGCAAACAAACATCAATATAGTAGTTTGTGTGAGTATACATTCCATTTACATAGACGTACATATGTGTGCATACATCAGGGACTTCAGTATGTTATTGCATTTTGCACGAAGCAATCACAAGTATATTTTTCCTCTTTGAAGTGTTCAATACATTTCCTGTACATATATACTAATATTGTACATATCGTTCTGAGCGCAGGAAATAGAGAAATTTTGTATAAAGCTTTTAAGAAAACTAGTTTGGTACAAATATCAAATGCTGTTAGACTGTATGTTAGAAAGTTCAAGTGAATATTTTTTTTTATATCAAACTACTAGCTGTAGCCCGCGACTTCACGCAATATACGCATAACGATTAATAGTTGAGATAAAAACTACCCTATCTTCCAAGTTGGACCAAATTACAAATGCCTACTAAATTTGATAAATATCGCTTAGGTAGTTTCGGAGTTTCTCGTGAACACACATCGTGACTCGAAATCTCTATATGTAAGATGTTGTATTTTCACTTAATTTGGCAATCAAGTATGTACAAACTTATTAAATTATGTCTTTTGGAAACATGATTAGTCGTAATTTGTGACATATATATTTGTAGAGAGAAAATAAGCCAGAAGAAATTTAATACGTAGAACGACCGCAGTCCCTTACATTTAATTGAGCTAAGACTCAATTACACTTAAGACGTAAAGTGGAAAAGGTTTTGCGTCGTAATTAATAAAGTTAATGGACGCCTTTCTTTATAAACATCAGCGTTGTTGACTTCAAATTTAATTAATTCAGATTAAAAAATACACCACAAATTGCCTTTATCTATTTATATCAGTTATCAATTTGTTTTAAAACAGTTGATATGTTTATATATAGCTGTCTGCCGCAACTCCGTCCGCACGAAATTAAAAAAAAATCAACAATTGAGATAAAGACTACACTATCTCCAAAATTGGATCAAATGACAGATGCTTTAAAATTTTTATAAGAATTGATTTAGTAGTCTTTGAGTTTATCGTGAACAAATATTGTGATACGAAATTTTTATATATAAGATGGCAACTGATGGCAAAACGTTATTAAAATAAAACTTTGTTTGTTCTGTAACTATATTAGCTTTATTACTTTAGGAGAAATTATACGTAGAAGTAAATCTTTACGCCTTGTATATTTAATACGATTTTTCCGAACTTTATTATTCTAGAAAGATACTGCAATATCATTTAGCTTTCACCTTAAGTTTGATATATAACACCTTCACAATGTACCAATACATAACTGACTCCCAACAAATCTGTAATGACCTTCCTCGTGGGAAGCTATCCATTACGCCGACCTGTCCTCTTTACAAAATATCAAAAGTAATGGAGCTACGCCATTCGAGAGAGATTTATGTGTTGAAATTAGAAAAGTAACATGGAATTGTAACATAATATCAAATAGGGAAAGAATTCATTTGATTTTTTGGAACCTACTTCTAAAAACGCATTCTGAAGTTTGGTAGTCAAAGTAGGCAATTTCTGGGTGACTTTTCAATTACTTTGGCTAATAACCAACTCGTTTTGTTTACAAATTTTATACATGTAGGTCACAATTTAATCAGAATTAAAAAACAAATTGATTAGAAAAGACTGGATCTTTATATCTTACAGCAATTAGGTCCTTTCACGCTCCGCATTTAGATCGGTCCGTTGTTAGAGGCGAGCGGAGAGGGGCCGGGGGTAATGGGAAATGTTCTAATTACGCAAACTGCTATCTCGCGCTCCGTAGATGTAATAAGCTTGGATGTACTTTATTTAATCGGAAAGGTGACATTGTTTCATGTAAAAACATTTTTATAATACAAGGATTACGCAGATTAAAGTTAAAATTAACTTGAATAACCGTTTGCTACCATTTAATAAAACTATGTAATTTCTTGGTTAGGATATTTTGTCCTAATTATCTGCTGTATTACTTGCACTATAATAACTAGCTAGTTAGACAGAGACAGATAGTTATCTATCTGTCTCTTTCTAAAAAAAAATTACGGAGGTGGCATTGTTGAGTTTTTATGAATGTCATTGAATTAACCT